TCAATCATGCCTATAAACAGTTAGTCAGTAAATTTATGCCTTATTCATAGAGTTAGTTAGCCATTCAGGCTGTTAATCAGTCAGTCCTGAAGTTAGAAGTTCTTTGATTGATTCAATCAGCCATTCAATTTAAGACTCTATCCACTTGGCTGCTGAGTTAGGAAAGTAAAGTCATCCGAAGCAGAAGTTAAATGCTTATCAAAGTATTTGCATAGCTCAGTCAATTTTAGTCAATCAGGGCCATAACCTTACTTCCATATAGAACTATCCACCCATTCTGAACACTCACGTTGTCTTTGCTGGACCAGCAATCCAGGTGCATGGAGTAGTGACCTCCGATGCCATAGTTGAGCACTGCCAGCTTATCGCTGTGGCTTAGATCGAAGCCGGACATATCCTCGAGGCGCTGGCGCAGCGTGAGTCCCTCGGCTGAGGTATTTAGGTCGAATGCCGCATCCATGGTAACCCGGTTCTTGTGCGCAACGCCTTGGTCGACAAGGGCACGCTTCAGATAGGGTCTGCTCTGCTCGATGACCAGCTCCAGCTCATTCTCATGAATGGCATTGTGGCAGAGCGCCACATATGGATCGATGCTCAGCTGCTCGAACTTGAGTGGAGCGAGCCGGAGAAAGGGCGAGCTCTCTGTATTATAGCGACAGCGCAGCGAGTCGCTCACGGGCAGCTGCCTCTGACCCCGACAGATCTCAAAGTTCGTGAAGTGCAAGTCCACGGTGTCCAGCAAGTGCAAGATGTGCTGCCTGTCCTGGGCGAGCTCTAGCATCTGCAGCAGAGCTGCCCGAACGCCCAGCCAATTCTCTGCAAGAAAATCCAAACAAAATCCACCAGAAAGTTGAGTTGGATTCACTATTTATTCATTGGACTAACCCCTGGAGGCATGAATGTCGACAATGTCACGTAAAATGCTTTTGCTATCGATATTCAGCAGCTCGTAGACGCGCTCCGGCGTCCCATCATAGAGCTCCAAGGCCAGCTCTAGCCACCTCTTGGCCTGCTCCCCCTCCCCCTCTTTGAGCAGATGTTGCGCCAGGGTCACACAGTCGGCCGTGCTCAGGCTGGCGCTGCAATGGACAGAAGAGACGGACATGTTGAGCTGCATCCACTTGGCGATCTACAGACTAGAGACCCACTTGTATTGCTGCGGGCCTAGCAGACCCTGAGCCACTTCGCGCTCACTCAGGCCTTTCAACTGTTGCTGGCGCAGCAAACGCTTCGCAGCCTTCGTCAGATCCGCTTCAGTGATGATGTGCAGTTGATAGTCCGCAATGTGCTGTAGATCTGTGGGCGATATTGAGTCTGGTGTAACTGTCGAATGAGCTTTTACTGAACTGCTTTACCTGCGGTCGGATCTTCCTTCAGGTAGTTCAATATCTTGCCCGCATCCATGTGCATGCGTCGCACCATGGAAAAGGCGTTCAAAGGACTTTCGACATAGGCCGTGGGATCGATCTGGGACTCCTCCAGCCTGGCCAGGGCATCTTCCAAGACTCTGGAGGAATATAGTTGTAGATGTATACACATATAGAGCTAGCTAAGATCAACTAGAGTGCTTCACTTACAGACGAGTCGAGCGCGCCTTGCGCTCCAGAGTAGTCACATAGAGTCTCAAGTCTTTGAGCAGATCGTCCTCGCCCTGCAACACCCCCACTAAATCGTGAGCTGACGTGGCTCCTGCCAGAAGCAGCAGCAGCGGAAGTAACAGCAGCTTGAGAGTGAGCATCTTGTGCTTGTCAATTGGAGACTGAAAGGAATAACACCAAGAAGCGAGTGTTTCTCACTGCGGAATACCCCTAACGAATCGATTAGCGCCCTCGATTGGCGTAGCCGCTAATCTGGAAATATTAGTGGCCCTCCAGCTGAATTGGACTCGAAATTAAGTTCGTTCCGCCTTAAAGTGTGGAGAACCTGCCGTCAAGTGGATGTCAAACTTATTTAACTGCCGGTTAATTAAATGTTTTCAACTTGTCGCAAATTTTTGGAATGCAATACAAAAAGTACTCGGAAATCAATTTAATTTTTTTTGCTACTTTTTTCAATCAGAAAAAGTGTTTTATTTTATTTATTAACATATATTAATTTTATTTTTCTAATTTTTTTAAAATCATAAATTAATGTTTTTATAGAGATTTTATTAATAGTTATTAATTAATTACTTTTTGCAGTTAGAAAATGTGTTTTATTTTATTTATTAATATATATTCATTTTATTTTTCTCATCTTTTTTAATCATAAATAAATATTTTTCATTGAAATTTTATAAATAATTATTTTAATTATCTGATTTATTTTTAATTCACACATTTAAATTTATTATTCCATAATTACTATCTACTATATATATTTTAATATAGAAACAGATTTTTTTGACACGCAAATAATAATAATAAAAAAAAAATTAAAATAAAAAAAAAAATAAATAAAAAAAATAATAATAATAATAATAATAATAATAATAATAATAATAATAATAATA